GAGTATCAGACACAGGACCGAGAGGTCGAGAGTTCGACAACCCGGCAGGTCAGTCGCTCTAAGTTGATAAACGAGTATCACTCTGTGGAAAGTAAACAGAAGACTACATATTATGCTTGCCACACGGCTGCTGTCGCTTCTGCCATTAAAAATAATGCATTCATTGCTGCTGACAGGGAAAATGACTGAAATGGTACCGTCATGAAAGTGTAAGAAAGACGGATATTTCGACGGTTACAGACTTTCCTCTTCGTTATAGCAACTCAGAGGGCCGAACGTCAAAGGTTTGAGGCAAAGGAGGAAGTTCAAAACACGATGGTACAAACTTGCCTCATCTATCAACTCATTTTGGCGGCAAAATCAGACACATCATCTGGGTAAAGACAAAAAAAAATACAATCGAAGAAACTGTATGAAGTTACAAAACAAAGTTAACGAGCATTTGAGTGACAAAAACCACTGTTGCATGAATTGTTGCGAAAAAATTAGTTGAAGACATGTCAGTTGCCAATTAATCAAATAATTAAGCCAATTCACAGATTTGCACCACATTCAAACTGACTTTTAAACATTACTGATAGTTTGATTAAACTTCTGACAACTTCCTATCCACACAAGTGACATTCATCAGGCAAAATGAGTATCAACCTGGCAGAAAGCATACGAGATCAACAGGGAACCGTCAAGCTCATTTCCCAATGCTGAATAATGAATCAAAAAATAAAAGCAACAATCGTTTCTTAAATAGGTAACGGATCGATATATCCTTCATACATCTCTATGTACGTCAGCCATATGTAATACGGTGTAATGCAATTTACTGTATACATATATTGGTATCTGCATGGGGTTCGTCGATTTCGAGAAAGCTTCTGACTCGAGTGGGCCCCACTTAAGCTGATATTCCGATCCTCTCAGGAGCATCAGAAGAACTTCAAAGAAGAATCCAAGATTTGGACGACACCAGTCAAAGCGTGAGACATCATTAATTTGGGTACTCGATCCCTGACCCTGATATCCTAGATGACGATGAAAACAACAACAGCATCAAAGTAAGACTGAAAATGAAACCTCAACAAAAGTTAGGACAAATTTAACAATTTCGTAACCGCGTGACAAGATCAATAGATGTATGCTTGACGAAGCGCAAATCTCTGTCTATCTGAGAGAGCTCATCTCCGCTACGGACAAGCAATTATGTGACATCAGCAGAAGAACATAAATGGCATGATGCAGCTTTGGACGATTGAAAATGTTCCTATATGAAAAACTACCCTTGTAGTTGAATGAGAAAATTTTTCCATCAGTATGTGCACACGGTGTTAACGTGTAAAGCGAAAAGTAGACCTTTGGTCTGAAAGGTAGCATACCTTGGAAATCTGTATGTTAAGAATAACAAAAGATACGAAAACAAATGAATCGATAATGACATAAACAGGTGTATGATGTTTGTGCCCAAGAGCAGAAGTCAAGCAGCAATGGACAATAACCGACCGTCGTTAGACCAGAGAGACGCTAGATTGACTTTCCAAGAAAGACTAAACGGCCCGTTGATAAGATGTCCAGATCGATGTCAGGTGAGCGGAAGAAGTTTGCTGGATGAAAGCAAATGATAGATAAAATCTACGGCAGTCTCGCAGTGCTGTTCATCTAGCAAGGGATCAGGAAAGGCCGGCCGATGCTGAAGTTACTCCGATAACGCAGAAATTTCAGTATTACGCCTGTTTTGCATGACACTATACGTGAAGGCAGTTATGCATTAGAATGCGTATCTACACCGCAGTAAAACAACTGGTAATATAACGCTACATAAAATGGTAATCCATTTTCATCCGCTGGTACCATATCAGATTCAACATCAGCCTCTTTCTA